GTTATTGAACTTATTACCCGAATCTTCCTTTTGTTAGCAGCGATAACCCTCGGAACCCGAGCTGACCTCGGACGACCTGTGGCCACCTTCGCGGATAGTTGTCCCAACCAGTGGAAACTAACGATTTTAAAATTGCTCACTACTTGACTAGCCTATTGATCCCAAGCAAATCGATTAACGTACCCCGTTCTAGTCGAAATTCTAGTACTACACTATGTTTGTTTTGATTCGCTATGAAAGTTTGACAGGTAAAATGAGGGGTTAGTGGATTTTCCTATGTTTTGAGGGGTGAATCGATTAGCTTGGGACCGAAGACAGTACCAGAGCTGAGCCAAAAAGTCTAGCTCGTTTCTTCGGGACCTTCTGGTACCTCTATGGTTGTCCTTTCTTTTCTCGGTCTTTTTTTTTATACAGGGGGGAATCTGCTCACAGACACCTGAGAAGTAACTCAGGGTGTGGGGATGGGAGAATTTCACTCCCGACCCACTAAAGCTTACCCTGTGCGCTTGACCCTTGACCTCCCCGGAACCGCCCGAAGGCATTACTTCGTGGGAGGGGCCGCTATAGCGCTATGGCGCTTCTCTAGCCATACTCTATCGATCTAGTCGGGCAGTAGGCAACTGCTGCTCGGCACGCCACTGTCATTGTAGTTCTGAAACTATATGGGTGACCGCAGGCAACACCGCGCTCCAGTTCTCGGTGGTACCACACATCCTAGGAACGATGTTATCCGGACTGGTATCCGCTCCGAATATCGCTAGCATAACGCTTGATACTGGCTCGAAGCGTGGACAGGCAAACACAACGTGTTCGGCGGTCTCTTCGACGCCAACACACGTGGGGCAGGTGGGAGTACTTGCATGTCCGAACCTATACAAGTAGCCAGGGTTACTTCCACTCACTTGCTATAAAAAAATGTTTTTCATAATTATGAAATCATGAGATGGTATAGTGATAATTAGTACTTGTAAGTTACAAGATGAAAACGTGAAGTATGTGTTTGACACATAAAATCTGTCAAAATTGCTTTCAGTGCGTCACAATCAGCAATTTTACGACTCGTGAGTGCTTACTCTGAGTGAACGCTCACGAATCATAAGATCGCTTATTTTGACGCTCTGAAAGCAAAATTGTCAGATTTTATGAGTCAAACACATACTTTAAACCCTCTTCTCGTTACTTACAAGTACAGTATATCATTATATCATCTAATGATTGCATAATTTCGAAAAATATGTTTTTATAGCAAGTGAGTGGAAGCAACCCTGCAAGTAGCTCCTAAAGCTGCCATGGCCTGACAGGAACTGTGTCAGGTGAAAGATTACTTCCCCGTGGCGCCTGTTGACCCTGTTGACCCAGCTTGATACGGAAGGTATCAAGCGGTAGGTCCACCTCCCCTTTGTGGAGATTTCCAACTCCGACTGCCATCTCGCAGTCGACACCGCTCACGCGTTGTTGCGCACCCCTCGAACGGTCCTCGCGTCATAGCACACCACGTCCTTCTTAATGATGAGGCCGATTGGCATCATCCCTGCTATGACACAGACGGCCTCCCTCGAGATGGTGTGGTATGCACTGGCCACCCTCAAGCACATTAGCCTCTCTAATTTCCGCCTGTGACAGTCAATATCCAGTACCGCAGCCCACGCAGGGCCGCCGTATCTGAGGATAGATACTATGACCCCAGCGAGGAGCCTGCGCTTACTGGCATTCACTGCCGAGCTGTTTGACATCATGCGGGATAATGCCCCCACAGCCATAGACGCTCTCTTGCAGGCGTACTCGACGTGGCAGCCGAAGCTGAGCTTATCATCGAGCATAACCCCCAAGAGTTTCAGAGAGCGCACAGACCTAATTGTGCTTTCACCGACTGTCAACGTCGCATGCAACCGACCATGTTGACTACGACCACTTCCGTCTTGTGATGGGCAAGCTCCAGTTTCCTGGATCTTATCCATTCCTCCACAAGCTTGACGCAGTGAGCCGCTGTCAGCTCTACCTCCTCGAGGGATTCCCCGTAGACTACCAGCGTGACATCGTCGGCAAAACCTACAATTTTCACGCCTACTGGGAATCTTATCCTCCACAATCCATCGTACATGACATTCCATAACACCGGGCCCAGGATGGAGCCTTGTGGCACTCCTGCGGTGACTCTTACGCATTTTTCGCCATCTTCTGTGTCGTACGTCAACACACGATTCTGGAAGTAGCTTTCCAGATTCTTCTACAGCCCTCCGGGAATTTGGAGTTGGTGTAGCGAGCGGGCTATCGCCCCCCAGCACGCGCTGTTGAACGCGTTCTTTTCTCGGTCTAAAACCCTTTTGACGGTCCACCGGGACACTCCCACGGCGATTGAAATGTCTTTTTGCGATATTTGCGCGTGGGACAAATCACGAATACGCTGCCACTTCGTCATGGTGCTACTGTCAAACTAAGTAAATCATTTTCTTTTATACACAGCCTACTACCATAGAGGTAACTCTAAGACCAGAAGGTCCCGAAGAAACGAGCTCAACTTTTTGGCTCAGCTCTGGTACTATCTTCGGTCCCAAACTAATCGATTCACCCCTCGAAACAAAGGAAAATCCAATAACCCCTCATTTTATCTGTCAAACTTTCACAGTGAATCAAAACAAACATTGTGTAGTACTAGAAATTTTGACTAGAATAGGGTACGTTAATCGATATGCTTGGGATCAATAGGCTAGTCAAGTAGTGAGCCAATTTAAAATCGTTAGTTTCGTATTGATTGTTGCTGCTACGGTATGAGCTATAGGTTACGTGCATGCAAAGAAAACCAAGGCATTGTATGCACAGGTTAAACGGGAACCTTATTTGTACGATGGTGCAAACATTATCACGTATACGGTATTCATAAAGTTACCTAAGATATTTCCCTGTGAGCACCAGGTGTTGATTTTTCCGCTGAGATGTATCTAAAATTAAATCAAGGGATCAAGTGTGTCCACTCTCCCCTATTATTCTACGACTACACTGAACGAATTTGACATATTCCTGTTATGTGGAAGTCTAATAAATTTGCGCTATAAGATAATCCATTGAAAATGATATGATTGAAAATGTGTCAGGTAAATTCTATATGAATATCTGATACATTTACAATGCTGATAATTTGGTAACTTTTATATGATCGTCATATGATAAATGAAAATCGATTAAATTATAATAATTAACTGAAATGGATTTGAAACCCATAAGCATAAGCTATACTTTTCACCACAATATAATATATGTGTCATAAATCAATCGAAGTAAAGTTTATGTGAAAATAACATGAAATTTACTTCTTCTTTTGACACATATATTTCATCGATTTCTAAAAATAAATTCGAAAAAATAAACATCAGGCAGTGGGAACTTTCACAGTTGTGCCTTTTTTATTGTAGCTGATTTGGGATTCGATCAAGAACTGTTGAGGTGTGATGCTTTCGGTGTCTGTGCTCGATTCCACTGGGCCACGGCTGACTTCAAGATTGAGCTCGTTCAAATAGCATGAAGTAAGGACAGCTCTCCCGACATGGAATGTAGTGCAACTTTATGCTCGTTTTGCTAGAGTGAAGACAAATAGCACTGTTCCGTTTCGGTGGTGTGGTTTGTTCAAATCTTTCTTAATGCACCTGTGTGCAATAAATCAACAACTAAATTATATGATTTGATAGAACTGGCTCATGAAGTTCGAGTGCTACTTAGGGCTGGAATCTGAATTAGCCGTGTAGAAGGCTTACAATTAGAATCATGGCAAAGTAAATATTACAGTAGAATCATTTTTTTTCAATCTCAATACATTCTTTTCTGGAACCAATTATCATATGAATGAGTGTACGTTAACATCGTTGAAAATTGTTTCAATAATTTATAAAGAACAATCATGTAAGATGTATTTAATTGGGAGCGATATTCATCCCAGAAAAACATGCAAAAACAAATGCTTGCTGTTGGATTTCTTAAAAGGCATTTCTATATGACTATTTAATGATTGGGATAGATCTGTTTACAATCTTTAAACGTCATAAATCAAAGCAAGCTATTACAATGAGATATACATGTTTTCCTATACTGCAAAGTTAAATGACAGTCCAATAGTTTCTACATGTCTATTTACACGCGACATATCAACAAACGTCAAAAATCAGTAAAAGCAACTCCAATAAAATATACATGATTATCTTATAAGATATATATTTTAGTGAGCAATATTCATCATGAAAACAGGTATATTTTACTGAATTTTCTCATAGTGCAAACTTATATGATTTTCCATTAGTTTCTAGATGTCTGTTCCCACCCATGACATATCAACAGTTTTTCACCATGAAATATATCAGACAATATTCATATACTTTTTACCTATCGCTAACCACGTTAGAAGCAAAGTATTATCAACAATCAATACGAAACTAACGATTTTAAATTGGCTCACCACTATAGTAGCCTATTGGTCCCAAGCAAACGATTAACGTACCCTATTCTAGTTGAAATTCTATTACTACACTATGTTTGTTTTGATTCGCTATGAAAGTTTGACAGATAACATCAGGGGTGTGTGGATTCATGCAGAACATGCAGGGGTGAGTGTAATAGCTTGGGACTGCTTGGGACCGTTGTTCTGGTACTGAGTGAGCCAAAAATAATAATGATTTTCTTCGGGACCCAGTGGTCTTAGAGTTACCTGTATGGTATTATCAAGTACTAAGTATGTGAAATTATGATAGAAATCATTCCATATCGCAGTCATAGTTTTTAAGTGATAATCCAATGGAATCTATCAATCATCACATAGAATGAATAAATCTGCTGACATTGCTATGTTATAAGATGGATCCAATAAACGGTATATGTCGATTTGTTTCAGTGTAGTAATATTGGTGACCGTGGTCGCTCTTTTTTCCGGTTCATTGCCTTATAAACACGATCCAAATTGTAATTGTTAATCTTAATTAAAATTTTATTCTCTGTTTTTCTTTGCTACCATCTAGCTTCGTAAGATGACTTCGACTAACGCAGCTGACTCACGAGGACCAGCCGACCTACCTATACAATTTATAGGACAACTTTATCATCCTGCATTGCCGTCGATTCAGCAATGAACAGAGAAGTTTATAAAAAAAATGATAACATTTGATCTAAGGTAAGAGTTAAATTTATAAACAAAACAAAAAAATATCAAAAGAAATGAAAGTGCAGCACATGGAAGAGGTGGGGAAGGTTAAAAACTCCTAATCGATTCTTATTAAACGAGAGCATATGGTTGATATCGGCTAATCGAGGAAAATGAAACATGATTACACATTGATCAAATTATATCCTAAATGACAACATACTATGAAATCTAGAGAAAAATGAAAACATTAAAAAAACATTCTGTACATAGTAAACTATAAACTCAACAAAACATTTAAAAAAACACACATCTACACAACTTCTAGAAATGTCGGGAGTGCATTGTTAGATACACAAAAAAAATCTAAGACTTATATAAATCTTACGTTTATTTATACACAGCCAGAAGTTAAACCACATGCATACTTCGTACCAGCAAACATACCTTTTCATTCACACCAATGATCTATGGTTTCTTTTGTTTTGCTCAACACGGAACAAAGTCCGGTTTCGTCGTTTGCTACAACTGCTGAATTCTCATTTTTATATAAACACGAGAAGAGAGGCAGATTCATATAGGTTTTTTTTTTTCGTTTCGTTCATCAATACCTTATAAACACATAACTATTATCTAAGCGTACACTCCACTGGTTCATCAATTTCACTGCTAGTAGAAGGAAATCTATCCGAAGACAAGATTATGCAACAAAGAAGAAACATTACTATGAAGTGCAATCAGCATTATCCATTCAGGCAAAAGCGTTCAGAAAATGTATGAGTTTCGCAAAGTTATGCGACAAGAATTTGTCCATCAAATAAAATTATAGAAAAAAAAAATGGTTCGATGTTTAGATCCTTGTTAGCGGTAGAGTTTTCCCGGAATGAATGGAAATTTCCACATGAAGAAAGATGATTTAAGCTCGTGGGGGGAAAACAAACATATTTTACGTAAACGATTTTCTCTGTAAATACTATACCATTCATTCAATGATGTAGTAGAGAAGTAAAATGAATAACTAAAGAAAAATGAACACAAAAAAAAAACATGCGATGATGATTGGAGAAGAACTATGAAACTTTTTCTGTAACTGAACTTATATTAATTTACTTAAAGCATAAAAGGAAGGGCAAAGAAATACACACACACCTACAGATATATACATTTTAAACCAGCTGGGATTTTATTTTTATAAAATAAAACATCCATTTAAGATTTGAGAAGATCATTCGAAATTGGGAAAAAAACAAAGGACATTTATAAAAGTTTATCACTTAAAAAAAATCATAAAATTTAAAAGAGATAAAACTAGAAATTGATTAACAATTTTCAAGCAACAGAAACGGGATATTACTTTCTCATTGTTCAGACATTTAATACAAAAAAAAAGAAAACAATATTCAAAAAACGATAAACAAGTTTATAAATAACGAGGAGCCGTTAGTAAGCGGTAAAGAAGGACAGTAATTGAATTAAACAATGATGAAATGCATAACAAAGCCATCTACCAACCACAACGGACGATGTTTGTTGAAGTTTCTGGACAAAAGGTTTTTAGCAGGTGCGCCTCACTAACAAACGCATTCAAAACGTTTCCGGTTAAAGGCTTCGAATAAGGGAAGCTTGACGATGAAATAAAGGGAAGTTTAAAGTAGTAAAAAAAAAAAGAAAATGAGATGCAAAAAAAAAAATAAACGAATGGCCCCCTCATGTCGGGCTGGAAACCGGAAACTCGCGCAGGGGTAGATTATTAAACGGGCGGAAAAAGAAAGGAAAGAATTCTGCAACCACCTTCTTCGTCAGGTACAAGGCAGGTATTTGGGGGACGGGATGGAATAGAAACAGATTTACTAAACCAACTTGTGTAAGATTCGATGTAAACGCAAAACACAATTTCGGAGAGAGTTTCAATAAAGGTATATTTATCCACGTTTCGACAGAGAAAGAAAAGAAAGGTTGTTTTATTTCGCTTATGTTCGTTATTTTCTCTACAAAACGGTACCCTTTCCCTGTTTGAAAGAAATCCTCCCTGAATGGGTGCAAAAAAAAAGCTTTTTTTATGAAAATAAAATTACTATGATGTAGGGGAAAGCAACCCAAAATGCCCCCCTTGGCAAACCGCCCGATGCTTTTTTTTGCATAGCATTCCCGTTTTTAATTAATAAATTTGGTAAGCCACAGTGCTGGTTTAGTACTTAAACTAGCATTTCATTACAAAAACCCCTGAATTAGGAGTGGACCCCTGGACTGTTCTACCCTAGGTATTTTATTGTCGGATTTATTTTTCAACGGAGGTGCGACGCTATGAGTTATTCTGATTCGTTCTGGGAGGTGATATGTCTTATTGGCCTCGTAATGCGTTCTCCTGGATTGTACGACTTTTCCAGTTCCAGCAGTTCTCTGAAAATACTTTCCCCGAAAGTAATTTCTTCGTATGTATTCCGAATAAAAATTTACATCAACGTTTGATTTTGATGTCTACATAGTAGTAGATGAGGAATAAAGAATGAGTAGAATCGAGTGAGCGTGAAGGGTGATAGACCGTATGTAAACGGAATCTCATTGGTTCGAGAATTTTGCTAGGTTAGTATACCTATAGATAGAAATATGGATTCTGTGACACTACCCCGAATGTCACTACCCCGAACGCCATAACCCCGAACGGTACACTACCCCGAATAGTAAACTACCCCGAATGGCCATTACCCCGAATGGCGACTACCCCGAAATTAAGACAAATAGAAGAACAGCAAGGGATAAATTTTTGAGAAGGAAATTTTCTTTTCTAATTAACCACTTCATTCGAGCACTTAAAATGACGTTTACTACCACTCGAACTTTGAAATAAAACATTATTTTGAGATTTTTTCTTCTAGAACCTCGAGAAAAGTAGCCAACATTTGTGCGTTTTATAATTAAAAATAGAAATTAGTTGGTCCAGTTTTGTGAAATTGCTGGTAGAAAGTCACGCCAAAACTGCTTGACAAAGTGGTCAATTTATACTGAATACAAATGATAGGATTCTATAACATTCCCCAGAAAACCATTCCCCCGAAAACCATTCCCCAGAATCTCATTCCCCAGAATGCACCATTCCCCAGAAAAGCATTTCCCAGAAAAGTATGCCATGTATTAGATTGACTATTTTTGTTTATTATAGTCATTCCTGGAATATTCTTTCGCGTATATAAAAAGAAAAGAAAAACTTATTAGGATATGTTTATAAATTACGCAGACAGTTTAGGGAAGGGGGGGGGGGGGGTTGGCAATTGTGCACGGTCCATACAAATTTTAAAAATTTATTTAGTTTTGAACAGCCCCTTAATGGCTCAAGGGGGTTTCCCATCTTTGAAAATATAACAATAGGAAATAATTAATTCTTTTGATATACGATAAAGAAGGGAATATTCCCTTCTTTTAATATATAAAAGAGAAAATAATCAATTCGTTAAATATATGATAAAGAAGGGAATATTCCCTTCTTTGAAAATATAACAAAAGGAAATAATTAATTATTGGATGAACGATAAAGAAGGGAATATTCCTTTCTTTGAATATATAAAAAGAAAATAATTTATTCTTTGGATGTATGATAAAGAAGGGAAGGGAATATTCCCTTCTTTTAATATATAAGGAAAATATGTAATCAATAGCTTTTGGCAAGGGATTCGGGGTAATGACCATTTGGGGTAATAACGTGTGGAGTAATGTTATAAATTTGTAATCGATAGTTCAACGTTCCATGCACCGATTTTTCAATCCATAACGAGAAATTCTTCAACTCAGGTCTAGACTCAGGTCTTTGATAAGGTTTAACAGTTTCCGACTGGTATTGCATATGGAATTGGATTGCATATTAGACCCTTTGACTTTTTAAATGGTGAACGAAGTGCTCGAAAACTTGAAGGTTGTCATTTTCTAAAGAGCTTTAAAATGGTTTGGAATTGATAAATACATAGTTCCATAAAAGTAAACGTAGTGTATCATCAATTTAGTAAAGTGAAACTAATCAGAGAGTTCAATCACAGACAACAGACATAACACTTTGAAAAAGTTTTTCTTGAAAACATAGTATCTCAAAACATAGGACCTCAGTAACGACATCTCTCGGGCTTCTCGCGTAAAACAAGCTTGCTCGCTTGCAAGCTTCAAAATTCCAATAAAAAATTATCATTTGTATTCAGTATAAATTCCAAAACGAAATTTCCTTCTAAAAATGTACCCTTCTTTTGACCCCTTGCTGTTCTTTCATTTGTCTTAATTTCGGGGTAATGGCCATTCGGGGTAGTAGGGCATTCGGGGTAATGACCATTCGGGGTAGTAGGACATTCGGGGTAGTGGCATTCGGGGTAATGGCGTTCGGGGCTATGGCGTTCGGGGTAGTGTCACAGAATCAGAAATATGATGTACCGTAAAACGGGGTAACATTGATAGTTTCTCAATTTTTTTTTAACAAGTACTGAGGATCCGAGAGTCAATTCGTTAGTTGTCTATTTAACGAAAATTATTGCATTTACTCTTTTTTTTAGTCTTGTGACCGAACATCAGTATTTTGATTTGGGGTTGCTTAGAATTATGATGAATTTAGAAAAACATGCGTGAATCTAAAAAAAAATAGTTCAAGAAATATGAAACATTGAATGAGTAAATAATCAGAAACACCATAAACAATAATAAGACAACATTGAATTTGTGATGGCTATATCAGAAATACATTTCATAAGTAATGGTTTGAGTGCTTTTTAAAACAGGTAAAAAGCAAGAAAATCGTTCTTCAATATATTAAAAATTATATGCGATATCAAGGGAAATGCCCTAAGCTACAATATGGAACCAATGTTTCTAAATCGAAAAAAAGGCAGAGAGTAAATTAAATCATTATAGGGTTAACTACCCCATTTCCGGCCTATTAAGCACAACCCGCACTTAGTCTTTCTTAATCTAGCGCAGTTTAGCACCAAACGGAATATTATTATTACTGATGGCTTCCAAATTTATTTACCTTTCCGTACCTACCGTAAGATTTGATAAAGATAAACCAATCGTTGATATATTGTCAAAAGTCTAACACTGCTTCTTGACGCCAAACTCGGCCAACGGATTCTAAACTCTGCCTAACGCATTAAAACGCCAATGAATTCACTTCGGCCTATCGGATGAAGATAAAAATTGATTCGGTCGGAGCGCTTCTTTTGTTTTTGGGAATAATGGGTGCAAACCTTCATATCACGCGTTCTTATTGACTTCGTTCGGTAGCTTTTTAAATAAACCCCCCTATTCTGCGAGTCACGTGACTCTCGTGTGAGGTGACTCTCCATGTATTTGAGAGTCACGTGACTCGCAGAATAAGGGGGAAAGTAATTGACTTGTTAACTATGAAATAATGGATTTATTTGAAGTTTTCTGCTCGATAGGCCCAAAATGGGTGATTAGGCCGAATAGTTCTCTATCCTATTCTACTATCAAAGTTACCCACATTATCTAAGCTACCTCGTTTTACACCTATTCTGGAAAACTCGGTCCGGTCACGACAATGGCGCCGCAGTTGGTGCGATGGATGGTTAATATGTGTTGCCATGACCTGATGGATGGTCGATAGAACTACCATGACCTAATGGATGGTAAATAAGAATTACCATGACCTGATGGATGGTAAATATGAATTGCCATGACCTGATGGATGGTAAAGTATGCAAAAAAAAATGTTAGAATAGCCATGACCTGATGTCAGGCCAATGAGAATTACCATGATGATGGATGGACTGAAGAAATTTTGTTAAATGATTGTCATGTCCTGATGGATGGTTAATAAGAATTGCTATGACCTGATGGATGGTAAAGTATGCACACAAAATAGTTAGAATTACCATGACCTTATGGATGGACTGAGGATTTTTTTTAAATAGTTAGGTTTGCCATGATCTGATGGATGAAATTCCTCCGAATGGGTGGATATAATGCCCCCTTCCTCAATTAAGGAGAGCAGGAGAGGGGAAGAATGTACTAGATAGAGTTAGTGGGGAAAAAAGAATGAGTGGAATCGAGTGAGCTGAAGCGTGATAGACCGTATGTAGGTAAATGGAATCTCATTGGTTCCAGAATTTTTATAGATTAGCAGAAATATGAGGTACCTAAGCAAAGGGGGGGAGGTGACTATCAAATACGAACAATTCAGGGGAAACATGTCCGAAGGGTATAACTCGAACGTAAACAATTACTACGGCGGTTTCTCTTGAATGACCACACACCCCCATTTCGTGGATGGATGATCAGTAGGCAGATTTCACAGCACATCCCGCCTCGAACCTAAGCTCGTTGTTGGCATTCTTGTAACGAATTTTCGAGCAGACGGAAGCAGAAGGAACAGCAGCAGCAGCATTGGAACCAGCCGCAGACGTGAGAGAGCTGCACCATTAATTCGTGTAGCCGTGGCCGAGGCTGGAAACATCGGTCCGGTCACGACATACATCAGCATCGAAATTAAACGTTCTCCTGATGACAAACATTAGAAAATATTGTGATGTAGTTGTGCAAGGTAACATCACAGACAAACAGACATAACACTCACAATAAAATTCTTCGCAAATAAGGTTTCAGTTCGGAATGTGCTCGCATTTGTCATGGTGGCGCCACTGAAGCGTTAAGCAAGTCAGCACATTTTGAACTTATCAG